GGCAGAGCAGTGAGCTGAGCATTGATAGAGCAGACACAGGCAAGGGAAGGAAAGAAGTAAGAAGCGGAGAGACGGGAAGGCAAGGAAGGGATCCAGGCTTGATCAAGTTCATCCAACTCAGGACCCCAAGTGTGCAGAGAACAACAGCCTTGACCTTCTGGGAGCAGATAGCCTTCCTCGTGGCGCCTCTGGGCGGGCTTGAACTGTTTCCCTTCCTAGCTAACGCAACGCCAAATCCACAAGTCTATCGTGACAGAAGCCGTCAAATCAGACATCGGGTACCCTGCAGAACATGTGGAGGGTGGGCCGTTGCTCATCTTTCTGGAAGACCATAGATTAGGTCTGTGCCGATTTATAGAACATTAAGCCTGCAGTTGCATTGATTACAAAGAGTTACTAACTCTCTCATCAGCAGCTTTACTGTTTTAAATATATATATTTCTCTCTTTCTTCAAAATTCCTTCAAATTCCCCAAACACTGGCATTTCCCCACTGTTCCGTGGCTGGTTTTAGATCGGCTGCTAGCCTATAATTGCTACAGATATTCAACAGCAGACGCATAGCAAGAGAACTTATTAACATGACACCTTTACCCCACTATGCCCAAAGAATTTAAAACCATGCTAATGGCAGTTGTGAGAGTGAAGGCAACGAACAACTGGCCCGGTGGTTTGTAATTACATAGGCTAAAGCACTCCTGAATTATGCAGTCAGAGAAATGCACTGATTTAATCCCAACTCAGTGAAATCAGAAACCAAGCAAAATTGGTGGGATAAAAAGATCGTGAGTGAAATGAGATAATTTGACAAAGTATCTTGCTGGGGTTTATGTGCTTTGTGGCTGATTAATTACATTCCCATTACATGTACACAGATATATGTATATATTTAATATTAAGCCTCAAGATAAATTGTGGTATATAAAAGGGGGAAATTGAGTTTGGAGTTAATGACATAAGAAGTTTCTGCCTTCGTTAAAAACACCCCAAATCAAAACCAGTTGTTATCCAGGGGATGCCAACTCAGGGCAACCCGGGTGGCACAGAACAGGATTGAGCTCCGTGGGGTGGTCTTGGCTATGATCTTTTTTTTTTTTAACCAGTTTTATTGGCACATCATTCACATATGCAATTCAATAGTTCAATCATAGCAAGAAGAGCGGTACAACCATCACCACAACCAAGTTTAGAACTTGTTCTTTCTAGTACTCACTGTTACAAGTGCCTCATTTCCCAGAAATCTGTGCGCGCACACACACACACTCACACACACAGACACCACAGATCAAGAAGCGGTGAATCCACTTATTGTCTCTATAGCTTCACCCATTCCGGATTTCCGATACCAAAAACACATACAAAGACAAGGAAGCAAAAAAGCTAACAACCATAACAAAAGAAAACGCTCAATCAAAAGGAAAGCAGAAAATATTAGTAACTAGAATGACTTTAAAATGGGTCCCAGGGGAGATCAAATGATGACGTGTTCAACTTTAACCTGACTCCATCTGCCACCATCCACTCTTCATGCACTGTGGGTGACAGCAAGGGTATTCACATCCCTGGTCCGTGGTCAGTGGGGATTCACTGAAGCCTTAATGCAGGTGAATTTCCCGTTCACTTTTTTCCTTTTTGAACTTGAAACGACTTCTAAATGGGACAAAAGGGAGATCAAATATGAGATTACACTTTAACCTAACTATATCTACTGTGATAGTTGCTACAATGCTCCCTGATAATGATTGGCAGTGATCTTTATGGGAGCAAATCACCAGTTCCTTCTTCTGTGGCATTGCTGCCTGTGGTCAAACTCCCAACCTT